CACCCATGCCCCAGCTGCCATGAATGGTGGGGATAAAGGCTCACGGCCATACCATTCTCTGGGAAATTGCCCATGGCAGAAGGAAGCTGCCTCAGCTAGAGATGCCGAGGATCAGCAGGCTTGGTGGTGGCCTGCAGCAACTAATACAAGGGCACAAAAGGTAGTCTCCTTGCCTCAGGGTGGAAAAACTGGTTGGTGCCATTTATACTCCAGAGCTCCCCCTGGGATCAGGCTAAAACTGGTTGTCAGCTGAAACCATGTCTTTGCTTAGCTTCTTCCTTTGCCCTTTCCTGTTTCCTTCTCTTCCTTGCAGGTTTCTGCTGAGAAAATCTCTTTAATCGTTTCCTTGCACAAGAATCTTTATCTCATCTTCACTTCTAGGGGATCTGACCTAAGACACTCAGAAGTGTCGAACTAAGAAGTTTGGATTGCATTATATCAGCAATGGGGAGTTATTGAAGGTTTTAGGGCAACTGTGTTTTAAGATGATTGGTCTGGCAATGAATAGCTTGTAGAAAGAATTAAGGGAAATAGTTCCCTTGCATTACTAATTATCACATAAAAGGCACAGCCTTAAAACTGCATGTTAAAGAGAGAGAGAGAGAAGAGAGACATTCTCAAAGCTCCTTCCTTTAAGACTATATAGATTTACTCAAAAAAGAGTTGTAATATTTTTCGTTCAGGATCTCAGCAAGAATCTCTTTGGCTATTATTTGCCAGAAATCCGTAATTTAAAACTGTGCTTTTGTGTCTTACGTATAACCTTGAACTACTTTTTTTTCTCCTTGTGACATTGCCTACCCATATCCACTAAGGACTAAATAAAAGAAAATAAATTTACCTTTGGCAGAATGACCTAAGATAGATATAGATTTTTTTAAAGGCATGATTTAAACTCAGGAGTGAAAGGAGGCCTTCATAGATTTCCTAACCATGAATATCCTCAAAAAAAAAAAAAAAAGACTAAAAACCACCTGTGTTTGTTGGGTGTAAATTAACCTGAGTTTATGAGCATGCTCAGAATTTCTCAGGAAATGTCCTCTGATGGCTGATTCAGGTAATTGACAGGGCTTACAATCACAGAGCCTAGAGGCCAGCCAGGTGGCACAGCAGTTAAGTTCGCACATTCTGGGATTTGCTGGTTCAGATCCGGGGTGCGGACCTATGCGTCACTTGTCAAGCCGTACTGTGCCAGGCGTCCCACGTAAAAAGTAGAGGAAGATGGGCACAGATGTTAGCTCAGGGCCAGTCTTCCTCAGCAAAAAGAGGAGGATTGGCAGCAGATGTTAGGTCAGGGTTAATCTTCCTGGAAAAAAAAAATCGCAGAGCCTAAATCTATATCGAGCATAAGACAGGTGAAAAAGATGCATATGCTGCCTCCTACAAAATGTTTACAGTTGATATGTTAAATATTTCTATATAATGTGTTTGCTAGAAATCAATGGAAGATAGAGATTTTTATTCATGTTCAGAGGGTCTCAAACAAATTCTTTTATTGTAAGAATCTAAAAATATAAACAAATTTAGTTTTTACCTTCCCCAGTGAGATAAAACTAAAACTATGTAGCAACAAAAGTTAGGCCTGCTATTTGAGTCAAGAAAGATTGAAAACTATTTACTCTTTACTCAGATAACTTTTAAATCCATGGCCCAAGGAACTAGTCTTAAATAAAGAAGACAAATAAAAACAGCAATAATATTCACTTATCTTAGTCACCTAGATAGTCATGGAGCGTGATATTGAAGGTAATGAAGCATAGCATTTTTGGTTTCACTCCCTAAACAAAACTTTACTAAACCTCTAATATATATGCCATCTTAAATTTGGTGTTATGAGCCTATATTGCAGAAATTTACTCATAGTAAGCACTTAATTATTTATTCACTGGCATTAAAACATTATACACACACTGCAAGGAATTTTAATTTTCAAAGCTAAGAGTAACATGCTACAACGCATAAGAACTTTTTGATGATTCCAAATCCCTTGGAATTCCTAGTTTTGTAATACATGGTGGTAAAGTGAGCTCTTGTTCACTTGCGTATTTTATTGCACAAATATTTTTTGAGCGTCTATATTTCTTAGGCACTACTCTAGAAACTAGACATGGAGCAGCAAGCAGAGTAGACAAAGATCCCCACTGTATAAAGATTGCATTATAGTTAGGGAGATAGACATCAATCAGAAAAGAAAGGAAAAATATATGTAATATGATAATGGCAACAAATGCTATGGAAACAAATAATGCAGGAAAGGAGTGGCTTATGTCTAAGTTTTAGAGAGAGGAACATTTACTTATTTAAATAGGTAGTCAGGGAAGATCTCATTAGGAAAATTAGATCTTCTGAAATGAATTATCTAAGGGAGGAGAAGAAGTGAATCAAGCAAATATCTGGAGGAAATAATTATTCAAGCAGAAGAACTGCAAGTTCAAAGGAGAATGCCCGGAAGCTCAAAGAACAACCAGCATGCCACTATGGCATTAACCGAGTGAAAGCATAATAAGAGAAAATTAAAAGAGATAATGGGGCAAGGTCATGTAGGGCACTGTCAGTAACTCAGTAACTTGGATTTTTACTAGAGTCATATGGAAGCCATTGGAGGTTTTGAATAGGGTCGTGATATGACCCATCTTATATTTTAACAGGATCAGTCTGCTTGCTCTGATAGAAAGAGACTGCAATGAGGTCAAAAGACACCAGCTCTACAGTTTTTGCTATAATCAAATAGGAAGAGAGCAGTGACGTTGACTGGCTAGTGGCTGTGGAGGCAGTGAGAAACAGGGAGATTTTAGTAACTTTGAGAGTAGAGCCAAAAGAATGTGCCAAACGATTAGATGTAGAGTAGGAGAGAAGAAGCCGTCAAGAATGATGCCAAAGTTTTCTGCCAGAGCTTTGGAGGGATGGAGTTGGAAGGATTGCTAGGATGGGTAAAACTATTGAAAGAGTAGGTTCAGAAAAGAAATGAGGACTTTAGACAGTGCATTAGTTTGCTAGAGCTGCTGTAACAAAGAACCACAAAGAGGAGGGCTTGAACAACAGGAATTCATTGACGGTTCTGGAGGCCAGAAGTCCAAAGTCAAAGTGCCAGCAGTGTTGGTTCCTTTTGAGGCTGTGAGAGAAGGATCTGTGCCAGGTCTCCCTCTTTGGCTTCTAGATAGCTGTCTTTTCTCTGTGTCTCTTCATGTTGTCTTCCCTTCTTGGTTATCTCTGTGTCCAACTTTCTCCATTATCTGTGTCTGCTCCAGGTTGAGGGTTATTGTGAAGACATAACATTAATTCTAGAAACAGAATATCCCCAATCATGTCAAAATGCATTTCTTGAGGATAGGATTTGTCATTCTTTTTTTTTTTGGTTGGTTTTTAATTCCACACATTTCTTAGCATAGTGTCTTCAACATAGCATAAAATATTACCTGGGAATTTTTTAGATGAAATTCACAGAAAATAGAGGCTAAAAGAGGCTTTTCCTGTAAGAATATTTATAATCTTCCCTAATGAGAAGTATGATGGCAGACAGATAGAGGATTAAAGAATTCAGGCACTCAGCCATGTTACCAAGGACCTTAGGCTGTTCATTTTTCACTTCTGTCATTCATAGAGTGTTGCTATCATCCTGTGGTGTCCCCTCATCACCCCAAGATGACTGCCACAGCTCCAGGCATTATATCCTTACATATCCATGGCCAAATAGAAGCAGAGCTACTTCTAACAGTTTCTTTTTCACCATGGAGTCAAATCCTTCCCAGAAAACTTATATCCACCAGCTCTTGCGGTCTTCCTTTCAGAGAATCATAATTGCATCATATGCCCTACTTTCAAGGGAGTCAGGAAATTGAGTGTCTTGCAGTTTCCATCTTTAACAAGGGAAAGAGATTCTGCCCTCAAATTACAAGGAGGATGGGAAGGACAATGTGTTAGACAACAAATCCTTAATGGATGTTAAATGAGTGAATGATACATAATCATGGTGATGGAAAGTCAGTGATATCAACGATTATCCACTATTTTCTTAGAGCAAACTCTAGATTCCATAGGGTGTCTCCTTTGACATTAGACATTTGACTTTATAATTTCCAATCCAAGAAAAGGTATCATATGTGCTACTTACAATTTACTTTACTTGAATTCTCAATTTAGAATTTCCGGAAAAAAAATAGCAAAGGCAGAGAATTAAGAATGAGTAAGATATCACACAACAAATAGAAAATTTGACTAGAAGCACTAGTACCATGATTTTTCTAAGTATTCTCTACCATCTGAGAGGTAATTGTTAGTCAATGCATAATACTGAAAACGATTGATGAAAATTTTGTGAGAAAGAAAATTACTTACAACATGTGAGTTCTGAGAGCAAACTGGTAGTGCTATCAGATGTCCTCCAAGGAAGAAAGCACATCAACTGACTTAAGGATCTCTTCTGAAGTTTCATAGTATGTTTAGTGTGTCCGGCTTAGCACTGAATTTTCTTCTTCTTAGGACTGTTATTGACTTAACTGCTTAATATGTGTACTGTTTCTCCAACGTCAATAAAGAATTATCTAAACCATAAGATCAATCATGCTGAGGTTGAAAATTCTTTTGTATAGTAATCCCCAAAATTCATCATTTAATATTATAAGCATTTGAATTGTGCCAATTCTTAAAACTAAGGATTCAGCTGTGAACAGTCACTAATGTCCCCTTTTAATACAATTAGTGTAAACTATTTAGGCTCAACAGAATTCTCTATGCATGGAAATTCCAGTGCTCCTCAAGAATCTGGAGACCTTCTCCTAATTCAGTTCTAAGCTTACTGTAAATGGTGTGGAAATATTTGCCAAACTGAATTAATTTGATGTTCAGAATAATAAAATAATCTTTGGGCCCTTGCAAACATCTCTACCAGTTGTTCAACTTAGTTGAGAGGGCTTAAACTGAATGTAAAATTATGTTGTGAAGTTCTAACACAAGTGCTTTTAAAAACTGTTAAATGATTGCAGATGACACATCTCTTTCAGGTTCAGCGAAAACATCTGAGAGAGATAACAAAGTGATTTGAAGCAATTTCCACCAACAATTTGAGGAAATTAGAAAAGATGCCAGAAAACCATACGGCAACAGAGGGAGATGAAATGCGTGGCTTCCCTGGGAGACAAAGAAAGGGAAAGTGCTGGGTTCTCAAGGCCCGTTTAATGATCAGCCCTTTATGCCATAAGATCCAAGGCAACAGTATTTAGACGTCTCATTCTGACCAAATGCTACCTGGCCTTTTTCAATTTCCAATGGAGGACGTTAAGAAGGATATGTGTTGTAGGAGAAAATGATCCAGGTTACACTTTCTGGTAAGTTGCTTCATTTGTTTGCAATTTTCTTAAATTGTGAAAGAAAAAAAAAAGGAGAGAAACAAGTAGGGCTTTTCTCCATTATGTTCAAGTGTTTGGCCAGAAGCTCCCCTGAGATTCTGTGATAGCTCATTTATAATATGGTGCAATTGGATCATCATTATACTTACATACCATCTGTTCACTTCTCTAATTCTCCTTTTTTACCCACTTGTTTTCATTTCAACTATTTTCATCTAAAGTGATACACATTTGCTAAGAAAATCCCAAGCATATTTGGTGTAGGAGGACTTCTGGACAAGTGGCTTTCAGAGTGTTGGAAGATAGAATTTCATTTAGCACATATTTATCTATTTCATATAGAGCTGATTTTTTGAGGTCTTATATTTGAGAAGTTCATTAAACTGCATATTTCACAGTTTTGCTGTTCTTTTCTCTTTAACGATGCTATTTGGATTCAGGCACACATTCAGGAGTGTTGGAATGGAGCCAGTTTCTGAAATTTGGCATCTGAATTTCTAATCATTGTAGATTATGAATTCTACACCACACATCACATTCTATCCTCTGATACACATATGCTATCCTTGATGAGCCCCCTTGCCACAGACTAATCTTTGTCAACCAACTTTCAAATAAAAAGACAAGACTAGGAAATATGACTATCTGATCCTGCCTTTTGGTGCAAATTCTTTCCACCACCCCACAAGAAAATCACTAGCACTGCTGTATTTTCCCATTGAGATTAGTATTTTTTTCTATTGCATTTGGTAATAGCAAAGTTGAAAAACTCTAGCGCTAAACACTAGATTCACTGTGTTGCCTGGTCTTTGATCAGCTGACAAACATGATAGCAATTTATACAATGCATTGTATTCTACATGCTTGTTCTTCTGTTGAGTAGTTCACATATATTCTCTGATTCATGCACATAATAACTTTAGAAGGTAGGTATTAGTATTTTCGCCATTTTTTAAAAATATGAATATTGAGGTTTAGTAAGAAAATCAGAAAATTTTCACAGCTAGTAAATCTTGGAGCTAGAGTAAAACCAAATTTTTCTAACGTCAAAACCATGTTTGTAACAACTAAGTAAATTCTAATTTGCTCATATGAAACAAGTTTCCCATCAGTAGCAATGACACTATTACTATCTCAGGGAATTGGCCCCACAAGATGAGACTAACCTTGTCTCTCTCTTTCCCATTACCAAGAAGGACAGGCATGTCCACTCTCCTGGGAGTGAGAGCAAGATGGTACAGAGAAAGTCCTTAAGTCAAGAACTGACTTCAATAAATTAGGTGCTGAGTCACATATGTGAGTGAAAGCACCTTGAACTCAAAATGCTGAAGTTGTAGATTCCTCTTCAGGCAAACTATTAATTCCCAAAATGGATACTAAAATTCCATACCTGTTTTCCGAAGCAATGAGTTAAATTAGAATTAACAGTTGTCAAACAGCAAAATCAGCATATTTCTATACACTAACAATGAACACTCCGAGAGGGAATGTAAAAAACCATTCAATTTACAACAGCCTCAGAAATAGTAAAATACTTAGGATTAAACTTGACCAAGAAGACAAAAGATGAGTGCACTGAAAACTACAAAAGGTTACTGAAGAAATTAAAGAAAACACAAATAAATGGAAAGATATCCCATGTTCATGGATTGGAAGACTTAATATTGTTAAAATGTCAGCACTACCCAAAGTGGTCTACAGATTTAATGTAATACCTAGTAACATTCCAGTGATGCTTTTTGCAGAAATAGAAAAATCCATGCTAAAACTCATATGGAATCAAAGGAACCCAAATAGCCAAAACAATCTTGAAAAAAGAACGAAGTTGGAGGTCTCACTCTTCCTAATTTCAAAACTTACTACAAGGCTAAGTTTACCAAAACAATGTGGTAGTGGATAAAGACAGACATACGGACTAAAGGAATAGAGAAGAGGACCCAGAAATAAATCCTCACATATACGGTCAAATGATTTTCCACAAGAGTGCCAAGACCATTCAATGGGGAAAGGACAGTCTTTCTAACAAATGGTATTGGAAAACTGGATATCCACATGCACAAGAATGAAGTTGGACCATTCCTTACACTGTATACAATAATCAACTCAAAGTAGATCAAAGAGCTAAATGTGAAAGCTAAAATCATAAAACTCTTAGAAGAAAATGTATGCGAAAAGCTTCACAACATTGGATTTGACAATGATTTCTTGGATATGAGGCCAAAGCACAGGCAACAAAAGTAAAAATAGATAAATTGGACTACATTAAAATTTAAAACTACTGTGCACCAAAGGACACCATGAACAGAGTGATGAATCTATGAAATGGGAGAAAACATTTGCATGTCATATATCCAATAAGTGGTTAATATCCAGAATTTATAAAGAACTCTTACAAGTCAAAAACAACAAAAAATAATTAACCTTATTATGAAAAGATGCTCAACATCACTAGCCATTAGCAAAATGCAAGTCAAAACCACAATGAGATATCATCTCACACCCATTAGCAGGGCTGTTGTCAGAAACAAAACAAACAAAAAATAGTAAATAACAAATTTGGCAAAGATATGAAGAAATTGGAGCCCTTGTTTACTGTTGATGGGAATGTAAAAAGATGTAGCCACTATGTAAAACATTATGGCGGTTCCTCAAAAAATTAAAAATAGAGTTACCATATGATCCAGAAATTCTACTTATGGGTATATATCCAAAATAACTGAAAATAGGATCTGAAGAGAGATTTGTACACTCATGTGCGTAGCAGCATTACCCACTATAGCCAAAAGATGGAAGTAACCCAAGTGTCCATCAACAGATGAAGAGATAAGCAAAATGTGGTACATACATACAATGGAATATTAGCCTTAATGAGAAGGAAATTCTGACACATACTACAACATAGATGAACCTTGAGGATATTATGTTAAGTGAAATAAGCCAGCCACAAAAAGATAAATACAGTATGATGCTATTGATATGATGTATCTAGAGTAGTCAAATTCATAGAAACAGAAACTAGAATGGTGGCTTCCAGGGGCTGAAGAGAGGGAAAAGGGGGAGCTGTTGTTTAGCAGATGTAGAGTTTCAGTTTTGCAAAATGAAAAAGTTCTGCAGATTGGTTGCACAACAATGTGAATATACTTGTACTTACCACTATTGAACTGTGCACTTAAAAATGATTAAGATGGTAAATTTTATGTTATGTGTATTTTACCACAATTAGAAAAAAGTTTTGGGAGTTAATAAGCTACTCCCTCCACGAAAAAAGAAAAAAACACCTATAGTGATGGAGATACGTCAAAGGGATACAAGAGTCAGCTAGAAGAACATAAATTGGAATAGTTTGAGTAACAAAATAAATTAAGTAGTATTAGACTTTAACCCAAAGTATCAAATATTCATGAGTCCACAGTGAGGTGGAATATCTACATAAATTATTTGAAATTATTCTTCACAGGAGATTTGTTTACTCTTCTTCATTTAGTTAGTTAGTTAACAGTTTGGTTTTTGATGAACTTGACAGTTTGAAGTGTACTGGTCAGGTATTTTGTAGAAGGTCTCTTAATTGGCATTTGTCTGATCTTTTTCTCATTATTAAATTGGAGTAATGGGTTTTGGGGAAGAAAACCACAGGCATAAATTGTCATTCTTATTACATTGTATCAAGGGTACATACTATCAACATGACTTATAACTGTGATGTCGACCTTTATCATCTGGCTTGAGGTAGTGTTCATCGGGTTTCTCTACTGTTAAATTACTCTTTACATGTAACGACATTCTACAAAATACCTGACTAGTATGCCTAAAAACTTCCAAGGTCATCAAAAACCAAGAAAGTCTGAGAAACTCTCACAGCCAAGAGGAACCTAAGGAGACATGAAGACTAAATATAACATAGTTTCTTGGATGGTCCCGGGACATAAAGAGGGCATTAGGTAAAAACCAAGGAAATCTGAATAAGCTGTGTACTTTATTTAGTAACAATTTATCAATTCTGGCTAATTAATTATGTCAAAAATTCCATAGTAATGTAGGATATCAAGAAAAGGAGAATACATAGGGGAAACTGGGTATTGAGTACATAGCAACTCTCTGTACTACCTTCACAATAATTCTGTAAATCCAAAACTGTTCTAAAATAAATTTTATTTAAAAAGAAAAAATACAGTTGAGTTAAGTGTGAGGAAAAGGCAAACACCATTGTTTGGGATTTGTTTGATATTTTTCTCCTGATTGTGAAGAACATGAGCTTCTATTCCAACAGGGAATTTAACATCCTGTGGATTTTTCTCAGGAATTCTGAGGAAGTGTTTTAAGTGGATTCCTCCTGATTCCCTTGATTCACAATACATCCCAATAATATTCACTCTTATCTCAAGCCTACTCTCTCAACATTTTGCCTCCCCATCTTACAAAGATTCAGATTGAAGAGCCATTTGGATGGAAAACAACAAAAGCAAAAGACAGAACACAAAAAGGGACTTAATATTTTTAAAGGGAAGGAAAACAACTAAAAGTGAAATAATCTGTATTTAAAGATCAGGGTGGGAGGATGATTGTGAATATGTTCAAGTCTTCCTTGGCCATGTGTCAAAACCTCCATGAGTTTTTAAGTAAGATATACAAAAAAATCGCCATCCTTGTCGTATAGAGCTATTGGATGAAAATGAGGATGTTCACCAGACTTTACACACGATTTCAGATCAACAAGGAAGCAAGGCAAAAGTCTAATTTAAGCCTTGTGGCTCTGGACAATCTGTGTAGTCAGAACTCTGTGCGAAGTAGGCTAAAGCATTTCATTTCCTCCAACTAGCAAACCTCTACAACAACACACAGTACACTTGCTTTCTACACCTGTAAAATGATGGGGGTTTGTATCAGAGCATCAACCACCTTTACTATCTAGTTGTCAATCTTTGGTAATCCAAAGGGATGTCAAACACTCTGACAATCACCAAAACAATTTCAAGGTCAGC